CCCCAAAACCCCAAAACCCCAAAACCCCAAAACCCCTTAATAATATTATAATATTGATTTTTCTAAAAATGAGTTTACTCTCTTTATTATAACTCTCTCACCAATCAAACCTATTTCTTTGTAAATGCAAATTTAGCAAAAATGTATAAAATTCCTAATATTTAAGAAGAAACACAGAGATATTTTCTTTCCATGAGACCAAGAGTAGCCTTATCAAGCTTCCTGAGCTTATTCTTCTTGTGATTTGATGCAAAGACCAAGGGGCTTCTAGCCCCTTCACTAATTCAGCGTTCCTTCAAGACATTTCTGGAAGACTTCCTAGTCTTCCTAGGTGCTTTCTTAGCTGAAAGCATAGCACCTAATCTTACTTCTTTGGGTATCTTCAGAGCTGGCATCCTGGAAGCACTATTATTCTTCCCTATAATTATCAGAGAAATGATTACTCTTAAATCCACTTTTGATCGTATTAATAATCTTGCGTCTATTAATTCTTCTCTATACCAGAAATTATGAATTTTTCTTTGAAAAATTCATAATTCAGTAAATACCTACCTTCATGTTTTCTGTGTTAAAAGTTTGGTTCAGATTTTCTTTGGCATTCTGAATTTTGCCAATAATTGTCTGGTTGATCTTCATTGCAGTCAGGTTTGATTTCCTTGAGATTTTTCCCTTGTCCATCTTTGCCTAAAAGTTATGAGAATTATGTACCAAAACATCAATTTTGCTCATCTTTTGGTTCCTTCGAGGAGCCCTTCTCCTGTTCTTTTTAGGTGAGGAGCTTGAGCCTAAACAGCAAGATTAGAATATGATTTTGAGATCATGATAGGTTAGCATGCCTAGTGCCTACCTTTCTGTGTCTTTATAATAGGAATATCAAGATTCCCCATTTTTGAATTCTTATTAGGCTTCATTGGACTTTTAAGTGACATTAATGAACTTTCAAGCGGCTTAGAGGGGCTAGCTCATCTTTTAAAGTTGCTCTGGACTAGTGGGAGTTTATCAATAACTCTGTCATTACTGAAGATCCTCTTTTTCTTATTCTTGCCACATCTTCTAGAATTTATCAAAAATTCTCACTTTCGGTGTAACTCAGAAGTCAACGAGTTGTTGTTGAAGCTAATATTTCTTAAATGGGATCCTTTGATAGATGGCTTATTTGATTTCATCTGCTTTGCCTTTCTTCTCACTTTGATGTGCTTGATCACATCTAGGATAACACTGTACTCGCAGCTAAAGGGCATAATTGATGTTTCAATTTGGCTGGAAATATCTGCCAATTTTTGAGACAATTTCATGTCAACATTAAGACTCTTGCTCTTAGGTCGATTTTCGTCGTATGCTGAAGTAAGCTCGCGCTTTATCTTACAACGGAGTTCATTGTATTCTTCAAGAAGGTTTACTGCAGTTTTCAGTGCTGCTAACTTCTTATCTGAGTCAAGAGCATCTAGAGTTTATAAATTTGGATTACTGTTTCTATTTTGATCTGAATATGCACTATTCACTAATTTATTTCAACTCATGAAATAGCTGAGTGATGTTCATTGTCATTAATTCTCCCTCTCTGAAAGCAGCTAAGCTGTGGTATTTCCTAAGAATTAGACAAGGATGTTACTGCTTAGGGATGGGCGAGAGAACTTTCCGCATTGATAGAGTCTCAATTTTTATATTTTCTTTGCTAATATTTCGATCCTTTAGAACGCTTCTACTGGATGGGTCTTGGCGTAAACATTCATGAATATCAACATTCGATCTTTCTTTCTCCTTACCTCTACGAATTCTGATGGATTTCAGCGAAATGAAAGGAGGCCTGAAGCTCTTCTTATTAATATTCTCGACATTTCAGGTCACTTTTCTCTTCAATGCAAGAGTTCTTTTAACCATACTTAAATTTCACTTTTTGCTACTATAAAATCAAAAATTAAAGAATAACTAATTTTGATCAATTACATCAAGTTATTAATATAATTATTACGGAATTTTTTTGCTATTTACCATCTTAAAGAATAGGCAACAGGAATGTATGAATATAGCACACAAATTGATGGAGTACCTACTTTGTGGTATATTAGTCTTTACATAAAAATAAACTAATTCCAGCTTAAACTACCCCAAAAATATTAAAAATTTATTTCTAATATTTTTGCAAAAATCCCTAATCTCCTTGCCACTAGCATCCCAAAATCTCTAAATCAGTCCAAAAATCTGGCCCAATCAGCTCAACTCTCATTCTCTTACCTTGCATCCCTTCTAAAATTCCCTTCTGACTTATTATCCCCCTCTTCACCTAAGCTTCCATTTCCCTCCAACCTCATGCCTCTATGGGACAAGCCATCTTCATTCGATAAATCCTGAGACTCTTTTTCCCTATACCTATAAAGATTTAGACAAATAATTCTGATAAATCATTATGAAATATGCTCAATCAGTCAGTAATTATGCCAAATCCCTTACATTAAATCTCCAACTTGGAAAATTAGGAAGGTATCTGACAAATTAATTTCAAAGTATACATGAGCCTTGTACCTGAAACAACTTCCCTTCACTCCACTCCATCCCAAGACCTATTCCTACTAATCCCCTAGCTCTACTATCCCCCATTACCACCCACCTCCCTAACAATCTCCATCCCAAAGCCCCATCTCCCCACCCAATCACCCATATCCTCTCCTCCATTTACCCCAAACCCACCCCTCTCTCCCCTAAAAATTCCCATTAAAATCCTCTTCTTCCTAAAATCCCGAACGGTTTAGTCCTAAAATTTGTACTTTCACTGACTTTTACTCTAGCTGGCTAAATTTGTGTGTAGAGTGGGAATTTAGGTGGAACTGGGGCTTACTTTGGGCTGGATAGTATGTTTTTATTTTACTTTACTGAAGTCCTTTTGGTTGATTCTTAGGATAGTAGAGAGCCGCTTCAAGTCCTTCCTCATGTTCTTGAGCGTAGAATCTAGATTGATTAGATGCTTGGGAGGTACTTTGCTCTTCCTTGATGATCTCAGGGGATACTTTTATCTCTTTCTTTCCGATTTCATTGCAAAATTGCTTCTCGACAAGGGTCTTTTTCTGGACAATACTGAGATGTTTTGTCTTTGGATCGTCATTAAGCTCTCTGATCATATCAATCTTGATTTTTTCAAGCTTTTTCTTCTCTAATTTGGGTTGCTAAAAGTATTGGAAATAGAAGATACTGGCTTATTTTATTTCAAGTATTCTTCCTTGGTCGAAAGTGTGTACTATTGTTGCTGTATCTTTACTCCTCTCCAAATATTCCCTTCTCAGAGTTATTAAGTTCCCCTAGAGATGAATAGAATATGGCATACCAGCTGTTTAGGTTGGAAAGGAGGTTTGCTCTCCTGCTCCTTCTTAAGAGATTCCTGTTCCTGTTCCAGCTCACTCTCACTCGAATTCCATGATTCAGACTGTATATCTTCCAAGGTCACCTTTCTTTGTTGTCATTCATCGGAATTGATGTTGTTTGTTGACTGAAATTTCCTACAAAGATGGGTGTCAAATATCCTGATAACTTTGAAGTACAAGCATTAAAGGAATACGAATAAAGATATAGCTTGTTCCAGTTACTGCTTATTTTACCTCATTGTTTTGAAGCTTTTAAATGTTGGCTTGCTTATCGGATTGCCTTGCTTAAGAGCACTGTTAGGTCTTTTCTTTTTGATTTCAATTTCAATTTGACTATTGCTGGAAATTTCGTTTTCATCTCAATCACTATCATCAACTTCATGAAATTTAGGACATTCACTTGTTGCAAGCATTTTCTTTGATGATTTCATTATTTCCTCGCTTTCCTAAATCTCATTTTCACCACACAAAAATGGGCAAAATTCAACTTAGACAACCCAAATTTTAGGAATCCAAAAACCCGAGAGTACAGAATAACATTTACTTTACTACTAATATCTCCACAGTCCATTTCTATTAAATATAATTATTATGGGGTTTTGGGGTTTTGGGGTTTTGGGGTTTTGGGG